TTTGCTCAATAAACCTAATACGTAATATCCCACACGTGGCGCAGATGATCGGGTATAGCCATTGGAATTCCGCAATGATTGTTTTCGTGTTTAGTTGCACATTGCGATCCCCAAATCTCTCTGATCTGAGCTGATGCCAGATTCTTGCTACTTGCGCCCGCGCAGTACGAGTATTGTCTCTCCAAATAAGGACTCAAACAGCTCGTGTCTATGCAGTAGTCTTCTACGACCAATCCATCATTATCGGTTGTGAAAAGATGATAATCCCATTGTTGATCATCATCGACCATGACCGAGTCATCGATGACGAAAGGAGAATCAACGATAAACGGAGAGTCAATTACTGAAGTTTCACTCGTATATGGTGAACTAGATTGAGAGGATACTCCCGAATAGTTAGGATGACGATAACCGAGAGTTGAGAAAATTTTGGTTGCTGCAGAATAACGTTTAAATTCGGACATGCATTTATATGCATGTAACAAAGGTACATATTGACGTAATTGTCTAAGCCATTCGTCGTAACTATCGCTCTTGATGAATAAGCTAAAGTCTTTATCGAGAAATATCTTCAATTCCAATTGATTAAGTTCTTTGAGGGGAATACCGGCCAGATGAGCCCAGACTTTATTCTCCCAGCTACAGTCGTCCAGATATTTCTGAGCGAGCATTATGGCTATCGCAATAAAGCGCGTGATAGACGTAAAATCCATTTGGAAGGTTGAATTAATTTGAGAAAGCGTTCGGGCATAATAGAGTGTTAGATAAATAGCGTGTTCTTCATGCTCTATAATTTTAAAAAGCTAAAAAGAGTTGGATGAAATAATGTTAGTTTTCTTGTGGAATGCTTGATAAAAGTCAACGGCTATTTCACTAAAAGTAAAATAGAGCAAAAGCGGTATGTGACTATAGTTGTGTTCAATATGTGCTCAGCTAGTCTTCTATCTTGATGAGTCTTATTCACTCATATTATTACTAGTTCCCAAAATCTTAATCACTAATAATATCGCTAATAGTATAGTCAATACCCGAGCTGTACAATCAATAATACGACCGCACAATCACATAGACAAGAAAATCATATTCTTACCTCATCGACGGCGTCTATAAGGTCTCCGCTGGCTAAAAATGATAAATGTTCGGGCCAACGAAGCGCAGGAAGACCGTCATTTCGGTAGCACGTGTAGAATTGATGAAATATATGTGCCGCCACCTCATGTAATAATTTCTTAAAATGGGGCGTTGCTCTATCTTCGATCGTTTTAGGCGCCATTTCAAAAGTCCTAGTAGCAATAGAGAGAATATGTTTGAATATAATTGTAACGTGTATGTCTTGCAACAGCAGGCATATGTATCTATTTAAAAAACAGGAATTTATCCATGTATGTTATAAGCATACAAGCATAATCCATATGCAATTATGTAGAGAGAATGCAATTGATATAAGCGCGGTATGCACTAGTTGCGGCTGAGCAGGTAGAGCACAGACAACGAGTGAGTATTTATCAGGAACGCCATAACTGAATTGTAGACTAAATTTATTGTCATGCTACCAAAAGTCTTGCCATTTCTCTGATCCTAAACTCGCTTTCTGGCTTTTTTTTTTTCGCCCTTCCGTCCAATCTCAATGCCTTACCTTTATCTGATATTCGTAAAAGGGCTAACAGTTAAAGAGGATAAATGAAATAAAATAGAAATGAAAATTATATATATATATGAATATATATGAATATAGACATATAAATATATATAAATATATGTATAATGAAAATTTAAAAGGTAGAAGTAAACTCGTAGCAGCAAAACCACAAGCCCCTTCGTAACCTCGCAAAACCGGTAAACGAGACCTTTAGTACAAAGGAAATTCGTCCACGACGAACTACTTGTGAAAGTAGCAGTTCGTAAGTGGGTGGTTTCAGAGAACGAAGAGTGTTTGTAGAAATCGCAAGCCATTATATCCGGTGAAAAAAAAAAAAAAGCCCCTATCAGCTATGCTATTGACAGCGGGTTTGTTACACTATCAGTATATTGTAAGGATAATGGCAAGAATAACACATCTACGCCACAAATTTTAGGGTTCGCAGTGCAGTTATCAATTGCTACACAGAGTTCTCTCGAACCCCGCTTCGTTGCCCTATTCTCTTTTTTTCCCACCTTGAACGATTGAGCAGAATCAACCGATCTGTCGGATGTATTGATTCATGTAGTCTAGCCATCAAATTCACATAACAAATCGTGTGACCGAGATGCTCGATTTTTCGCATGAAAAGATTGGATGTTTAGTCATCGGTACCAATCATAAAGCTCAATGACATATGAATGTGTCATTCCGAATCCCTTATTTAACCAAACGTCTCTCTCTCCAAGCAGTGAAAGGTGGAAGTGAAAAAGTTTGGTCGGGATGTCTTATGACACGAATAACCATACAGAATAAATTAGTCTTTCATATTTTGTCATATGCTCCAGCGTTATTGATGCACGCTTGTCGACTTTTGTAAAGCTTCTTTGAAGAGCAAGAAAAGTCATTAATACATGAGAATAATAATAGTCAATAGTCATACAAGATCATGCCAAACAACTTCTTCTACGAAGAGATTTGACAGGCCATTATTATTACCCTGCACAATCTGCTCGCTAATGTGTTCCTGTTCAACATGTTCTTCCTTTTTTTGTTAGAGACAATAGTGTAATTGCTTTCCACATATAGTAAATTCACTTGTCTTTCCATTCCACGAGTGTTAAGGGATTGACATGTGGAGATGGATGGTACATAATCAACCAGAGCGCATACTTTGCCTTTTATCTCGGGACAAGAAATTTCCTGGGTGCATCAATTACACGCATATATATAGTGTGGTCTTTTGAAAATCACTGCTATGCTATTGTTTGACCAAGGCAAAGCGATCACGATTAATATAATGGTTGGATGTAGCACCATTAACTTGTACGTGGAGAATTTCGTTTTCCATATGATATGACGATCTTTTGCTACTGTCTTTTTCCGTTTTGTAATGTCGTGTTACATATTAACATGAACACTTCCTAGTAAGAATTTCCAACAATTTGCGCATCGGCGATTTAATACTTTCCCAAGGACGGGATATTACAGCGTTTTTATGAGAAAAATCAACAATTACGAAAGCTATTGTTTGTTTTATTGGGTCCGTGTGTGAGTTTTGAAAAATAGGCACACATAAGTCAAAAGACATTGAACTCTAAATAGGAATGCAAATTAATGATAGCAAGCTACTTATTTAACTTATTGGTTAGTAGCAATACTTCTATCAATCGTAAGAATGAGTAGAGCAACAGGCTGCCATGTGCCCCGATCATATGTTCTTCTATAACAAGGATAATAAGTTTCGTACGCATGAGTCAGAGCTGTTAGCTAATTCCGCGATGAAACTTACATTAATGATACCTTGCGATTACATGACTAGCTTCAAATTTAGTAGCACATAATACAATTAATCATTTGATCTAGCTAGCTCTGAATATTTCCCACTCGTAGCTTTATTCTTCTCTCGCCAGACGTGTTTTTGTGATTGCATTTTATGAAAGAAAAAATTTTATTCTTTAGCAAAGCGTTCGCCTTAATAACCATTAACGCAAACCCTTATTAAAGTCCAAGTCTTCGGTGATACAACAAATCAATATTACCGAATGCTGGAAATATCAAGAATGTTCACTTAAGGTCTTGAGCAAAATCCTATCACAAAGCTGTCCCCAATATTCACTCACACCATTGCCAAATGAAATGTTTTGCCAAAAGCATTGTTCTCATAAATTGCTTATGGTTTTGGGCATCCCACGTTTTAGCCTTGTTCACGATATACCGCTAATTATTGTAAGCGCTTTGATCAACATTATAAGAACGTTATCCGCCTCGCTGTTATACAGAAATTTAAATTAGATTCATTTTATAAACGCGTTTAATAAAAGGTACACATACATTCATGTATAATTGCACTTTAGTCAAAAAGCATAATTTATACGTGTGGCAAAAAAGTGACGTAATAAACATACGACAATTTAGATAGATCTTGCAAATCTTTCGCTATATTGGCGCTTGACATTCCGTCATTAATTACTATCATGTTGTCGCCTTTTCGAGTCTGCATGCCGAAAGAATAACTCATTCAATGGTAATCGAGTCCAGAACTTCCGTCCTAATTATGTGTTTAATAAAATTGTCCCGTTGGATCGGAATTATCAATCTCTATTAACGCTATTTACAACTTCATTACCAATCACTGTCATTGCTATCGATAATATAGACAATGTCCTTTTCGTCATTCGTCTGCTATCAATACAATTTCACTTGTCTTCTTTGGTTTGTGTATTATGTATTGAAAAAAAGTGATCAAATCATAAGATTTAAAACCGTCTTATGGCAAATAAAAAGTTTCTTTGTCCATAAACAACAAATATAAGAGAGAGAAAAACGAAGAAGGGATTACTTTACACGAGAGTATATGCAAGTATGCTAAGTCAAAGGAGAATCGACAGAAGAACAACCACCTAAATGCCGAACGCACTCGACACATCTAGTAAATAAATCTCCATAAAAATCAACCTATATCTATATATTGACATGTACGTGGAATGTAATATGCATTAGACGAATATACATAACAAATGTAGTAAGTAAGGGTACGAGAGAAAGAAACAATATTATATACTATAAAGAGTCACTGTAAGAGTAAATGTAGATGAAATTGCACAGAAATTATGAGATATCAAACACCACCCCACCCACCTTCCATCACCCTCCCTCCCCCTCCCATCCCATCCCATCCCATCCCATCCCATCCCCCCAAAAAGCAAAAACTGAAACCAAAGTGAATGTTCACACAATTTCTTCCTTTTTGTCCAAATCCGTTACAAAATATCACTAAAGTATCTAAACTCAACTATACATTTTAATTACATGAACATCCACTTCTGATAATTTGTATCTTCCTTGCACAACCTAAACCCTCAATATTCCATTGTCCTGTTCAGGATATCCGTGATTTCGCCTTATCAGAATCCCCGAGAACTCTTCTGATAACATCACTGAGAACGGCAAAGTTGACCGGTTTGCTCACATACGCGGTAAATCCTGCTTCTTGGCATTTTTGAGTAACATCTGTCATCACATTCGCAGAAAGTGCTACTATCGGAATCGGAAGCTCGCTCCCAGACTTGAGATTCTCGGATTCCCATTTTCTGATTTCTTCCGTTGTCCCATAGCCATCTAAGACGAGCAACACGAAAATTAGCGCAAGTAAAAAGATCGATCTGTGTAGATATAGGGAATGGAGTAAAGCAACTCACCTTTAAGGGGCATAAATAGATCACACTGATGGGCAATACGAATGTTTTCGTTAGTTCAGAAATCATGAACACATATGATCATACTCTGACAATAAATTGTATACCCACCAATATCAGACTGAAATAATCATAGGAATGTGAAAAAAACTCGCTCAGACATTGAATTCCATTAGCCGCAACGGTAACATCCAGGCCTACTTTCTTCAGATACTTCATCATAACTAGAAAGAATAAATCAGTCAACTTGACAACGCTCATCCTAAACACATACAGCACAAAGCCATTCTATCCCAAACAACACAAACCTCTTTGATTAACGGGGTCATCCTCAGCAAGCAATACTTTGTATCCTTTCCCACCAATATCATCTACCATACTCTTAAACAGTTCTTTCTGTGACGTAACAATTCTATTCGTATTCTTTCTTTTCATGGAATTATTTCTCAATGCGGCTGAACTATTAAACAAACACTCCATCTTACTCTTATTGACGGGTTTATATATGAAATCAACTCTGTTCGGTAATTCTCTTTTGTCTGCGCCTTCAAGAATACCAATTCGTTGGAATGGACAAGTAAAGATAATACAATCGGCAGATGAGAGTTTGGGTGAATTCTTTACCATTGAAGCGAGAGTAATTATTTGTGCTTGCGATGAAAGGCTAATTAAAATATGAGTATATTGTTTTATGACTGGAGATGCCAATGTCTTGCTAGCATCGGCAAAAGTCGTGAAAACGTCTATTTCCGAAGAGGCATTTGTCTTCAAGATCGAACGAACATAATATTCAATGGTTTCCCGCGAATATAAGAGATCGGCAACTATGAAAACACATATGCTATGTGGGAGCTCCGTGTATTGATCGAATGATTTTGTGGGCGCTATTAAATTGGAAGGCAATTTCTTTGGCGTTGTTGCGATATTGCTCACGTCGAACAAGTCAAGTGAGCTCTCTGCAAACGTTTGAGGTGGACTTAAAGGTGAAATTGCAGACACATTGGACGATAACGAAGAAGAGGAAGAGAGTGAAGAAGATAGAGAGGGCTGGGATGCCGAAGAGCCAGTCGAACTTGCAGACCTAGCACTATTGTTACTAATTGTTGACGTCATTTGATCATGCGAGCACACGCCATCATCTCCTCCTGCTGATCCCTTATTCGCCAAAGCCACTTCGGCTTTGCTATATCTAAAGAACGGAGAATTTGACACTTCGCCGGTTGGTGTCGGTGGACTCGGGACAGTCTCTTTTGACGGTATCAAAAACCGAGCCGAGAAATAAAAGGTCGATCCAACACCTTTCTTGCTGCTACAGGTCATCGCACCACCATGTAACTCAATCAATTGGCGCGATATAACAAGCCCGAGACCGCTTCCACCGTGCTTCCTTGTCGAGGATGATTCTGCCTGAGAATACGGCTTGAATATGAGTGCTTCTTCTTGTTTGTCGAAACCTTCACCAGTGTCGACTACTGCAAATAGAAGCATTATTGTGTTCTCATCAGGATCGAGGGATTTCACTGAGCATCTGGAAAATATTTCACCTGACGTTGTAAACTTTATAGCATTCTAAATGTAGAAAATGAAGAAGGTAAAAAGATAAAAAGCGGGTTAGTCTATAAGATCGTCAGGCTGGAAGGGTAGTTATACACCGAGTATATACCTATACCCTTTAACCTGAGATATAGACTTGCTTGGTCAAGTTCGCTAAGTAAATAGAAATTCAAAAAAGTAGACTTTTTGTATTCATATCCGTTAGTACCTTAAGCACTAACTACCTCTATTTTACGCCCCTCCCTTCCTCCACCCAATATTGCCTATCTCTACTTACCCCGACAAGATTTAGCAGCACTTGTCTCAACCTTGTCCGATCTCCGCAAACAACATCCGGTACATCGTCTTCAATAATAAAACTTAATTCTAATCCTTTTTGTATAGCCAAATTTGACAAGAGTTCGTTCGTGTCTTCCAGCATCGTATGAATAGAAAATGGTTCGTATTCCAATTTCATCATTCCTGCTTCCACTTTACTCAGGTCGAGGATATCATTGATAACCATGAGCAAGGCGTCAGCTGATTGTTGAATTGTGTAGGCATAATCAAGCTGCTCATCCGTCATGTTCGTAGCGAGCATAAAACTTATTGTACCCGTTATACCAATTAATGGTGTTCGAATCTCTGTATTATGAGACGAGAAGAAGAAATATGACGCAATTAATGAAAAGGCGAGGAATATGCTGGGACAACGGAACGCTCTCCTTTTCAACTTATACTTGCCATGCGACATGTTAGAGAGAAACCGCGTTTTGCTTTCCGTAAGACGTTGAGCTGCATCGTGAGCTGCCGTCAGTTCTTGTTCCATTATTTTGTGTTCGTTAATATCCGTACTACAAAAAAGAGTAAAATGTGTGAACGAAATGCCCTCATTCACATTTTCGTTTCATATACCATTCTGAAAGAACCTACCAAGTTCCAAACCACTTTCTGCCCTGCTCTGAAGATTCAACACTTATACATTTTACCAAGAACCACCTGTACGTCTCATCCTTTGCTTGCAACCTAACTTCTCTGGTGTATATTTCACCATGACCACCTTCCTGATTATTGTCCTGTGGTAGAACACACTTGTCACGATCTTCTGGGTGCACCAGACTCAAAAAGCCAAATCCTTTGGTCTGTGAGTAATCCATTCCTGAATATTCTGTCCAATTGTTATTTACATACAAGATGCCATCCCTCGGCGTCGCAGTGAAAACAATCTGCGGTATAGCCTCAGCCAGCATCCTATACTTCTTTTCATTAGCTTCGATATGCCGACGAGTTAACTGTTGCTCTTCGGCTTCTTTTTGATCATGAACATCTGTGGATGTACCAAGCCAATGAATGATAACACCCCGGGCATCACGAATCGGGCGGGCACGACCAAGGAACCAGCGATGATGTCCGTCAAACCGGCGAATACGGTATTGATCAGAAAAACTTTCACCACGGTTAAATGCGGTGCGCCAGGAATCCCATACTCGTTGTTGATCGTCCTTGTGGATACACTGCAACCAACTGTTGCCGAGCAGGTCTTGGACAGGGAGATTGGTATATTGAGTGAAGCGGGCGTTTACCCAGGTGCAATCACCATTCGTTCGAGAGAAGGTGCTATAAAAAATCGAATAGCAAAAGAGAATATATAATTTTCAAAGTTAAACCATGTTTGCTGACAAATTAATTATATTCCTTTTCATTCTTTCCTTCAAACGCGACGGTTTAGCTATTGGCCTATGAAACAAAACTATACCACGCATACTAGATTCACCGTCTACACTATTTGAAAACGAAAAAACTTACAATGCAATGTTGGGCATGTCATCTAGTATCATACGATACATGTCTGCCGTTGGCGCGACTACCCTCTGCATTTCATCTTTAGAAGACCTTCTCGACCCGGCAAAACTTCCCTTGGATGACCTCCGAGGCTTTTTCTTTTCATCTGTGTGTGTATAATCTACAGATGTGGACACGTTAATTGGACGAGACAAAGCCGGAGACTCGCGTGAAAGAGGTTCTGGAAGAAAATCGTCTTCAGATTCGGTCGAGTGCGGGCGGACTTCTGATTGGTATGTCTGCGGACTTTGTACTATCTGATCACCTTTCCCTAACTCCTTGACTTGTTTATCTACTCCTTGCCAAGACTCATGGCAACCGCTAACATAAAATCCTTTATCCGGGTCAATCAGATAATAGCCAGAGGTGGGGAATGTTGTCGAATGTTCAGACTTGGAACTAGTTACACTTTCTATATCAGACTCCCAACACTCGTCTTCATCATCTATTGATCCATCCGTGCGCACACAGTTATCCTCACTGCTATTCTTTTTTATATCTTCTATTCTCCCCAATCTCTTTCGCATTCCCTTCCGTCTATAGTGTCCACGCTTACTCGACATGTTTCGGGCGTGGTTAAAATATAATAACTGATTGATATTCTGCTGGTGTATCGATGCCATCGACATAGTAGTAGCCAGAAATGGCGCTAGTAACTGTAGGGAAGCTACTATATTCGGCGGATACGGGACGACGGAAGACATAAACGATAGTATTGCTATCGGGACAGGATTTTGGCGAGTCGTCGAAGGGAGGACGTTTCGAGCTGTCGTCGGATGTATCAGTGGGATATGTATTATAGAACAAGCGTGACTAGAATTAACAGAATGGTCAAATTTGACCGACGAATAGCTTGAAGAATATTCGGAATTCGGGTTAAATGCACCATCATCAATTTCTGGCATCGTCTGAAAAAACGGATTAACGTTTGAATCAGTCATGGCCGGAGAAGGGGTGGGGCTTTGCGACCATGGGGAGGGTTGTTGCTGCTCGTATTCGTAGTATTCACAGTTGGAGCCTGCCATATAATAAGGCATAGAGTCTCTGTAGCGTAGACGATTTCCAAGATTGCCTTCCTCGAGATCATTCAGTAGCGGTGTGTTTGGAATATTATTGGAACTTTTCTGTGTGAAATATGATGTTGCCTCATTCGAATTCGTTGTTATGGGAGTATCCGGTGTTGAAGATGGCCACAGACGTCTTTCTGGTTGTTCATCTCCCGTTTTCCTGTATTCTCTTGATACTACTACTATGCGTCCTCCTTGAACTATATACAGAATCTTTTTGTTGTCTATTAACTGCTCCGTGTCGCAATCAAAACTCTGCAACTTGTCGAAAACAATATGATTATGATTACTGTCATTCGAGCTCGAAAAACAGCTGTCACTGCTGAGATACTGATCTCTGTTGTCCATTGCTTTGATTCCCCAGGGTGTATTAACAGTGTCAGTGAGATCGTGGGGAACAGAAAGGGTTAGACGAGAAGCTCGGTACGAGGACGTGAATATGTCCACTACATTGTCCCACCATTTGGTAATCACCAATTCTGTTGTGAGCTGGAGAGTTAATTTATATAAATTCGGTGACGAAAATTCGTGTCCTGTTGTTGCTAAACAGCCATCGTTGGATTTTGAGGAGTGAGGTGGAGGAAGGGGATATTGAGAGTTTGAGTCCGGAAAGATTGATGCCTGCTCTTGCATAAGCGTTTGCGTGTTCGACAGTGGAGAATTTGATGAGGGTGATTGTGATGTGGGAGTGGGAAACTGTTGTGGTGGGTACTCTTGTATGGTATTCGATGTCGATGTCGATGATGAAGATGACGATGACGATGACTGAGAGCTATATAGATGGTTATGTAACCGTTGATCATAGTCTTTCTGATTCGGTGATTGCTGTTCTTGAATAATAGTAGTTGATTGTGCTTCGAGACGTCCGCTCTTGTTTTTTATGATTGGTTGGTATTGATGTTGGTGTGGGTTAAGTAATTTTGTTGCCGCTATTGGTATATTGAGAGCTAAATGCTGTTTCATTACTTAATATACCTTTGCCACGCTTATGATGAGTCTCTTGATTATATATATATATATATATTTTTGATTCGTCAATTATAAATTGTTTTGTCTTGTGATGATGAGATTCACAGAATTCACCAATCCAGTTTTCAGTCCAATTGCTGCCTACAGTATTCTATTGACGATTGCGCAAAAGTATCTCAATGTTCCTTATGCAATTAATATATCTCCTTGGCATTCGATCAGTTAGTTTCTTGTCTGATTTGCTTTTTTTCCCACCTTCTTGTTCCTTTGTTTTATTATTTTTTTTTCTTTGGTAGCCTAAATCCAACAATGGTTTATATTCAGATAGTCAGTTAATATTCGGAATGGTCGATAAAAGCCAGCAGATAAACCATAAGTTGGAGCAGCAGTAAAAGAGCGAATGTTATAATGAATGAACCATCAGACATAAACACACTGGTGTTTGTATTCTGATAATATGTTGTATGAAGCAGTTGCAGAAGGGAGTTTTGTACACCAACGATTACAATTTAGCAAGAAAAGTGTTAAACTAAGGTTGGCTTCTTGTTGGAGAGGAAATGGTCTAGATGTTGCCGCTGGTCCTTTTTCTTATTTCTTTTACTGACAGCCAGTGTGTTCCAATGCTATTTCTATGCAAGATTCGTTTTTATTATCTAGTGTATTTTGCCTCCGCTCCTGATTCACAATGTTTAGCTTTCAAGTGACTTGGACCCAACTGCTTCGGCAGCCCTTCTGTTCCTTTGTTGCAATGCTTTTCTAAAAATACGTCTTTTGCTGCTACCTACCAACTGTGGTATACAAAAATTAAGAAACCTTACCCCGCCGTACCTTTAGTTGGCGAGTGATAAGTCAGGGGAATCAATTTTATGATAGATAGACACTGTTTAATATATTTTATTTTAACATAATCGTCACACCTTGAAGAGAGGTCGCAGCCTAATTCGTCACATAGTTTAAAAGTGGCAGTTATTTGTGGATACTATGATGTCATAGTGTATAAATTGGGAACGAGCGAATAAATGAGAGTGCATTATAAGGCTTGGGCGAATGAATAGAATTGGCAAGGCAACAGGATTGCTTGTAGAATATGATTGTGTTTATATTATAAATATTATTTATGTATTTATATCAAGTTAATTATTTATTTGCATTTTAATACGGTACCTTTTATTATTGCAGCCGTTGCTATTAATAATAACTTGCAACTATATTACTACGAGACATATTATTTTACTATTGCTTCTTCTTGCATTACTTACATTGCTATTACCACTCCTACGTATCCTATCCAAATATTTATTTGTTCTTACTAATGTTCTATGAAATGATTATTACCATTATTAGACAACACCCGCTAACCCGTTACCTAAAGGCCGTTATTACAATGTTGTAAATATAAAGCCAAACATTACGAATACGGATGGGCGATCACCCGAAATCCGGCCTGCGATTACGTAACTTCGAATGAAGCTTAATAATAAACTGTAGCGTTGTTCGATTTCCGGAAGTTGTTCTTTTTCAGGATGCAACGGTTTCTCTCTATCCCTCTATCTCTATCTCTTTCTTGCTCTTTTTAATACGATTAAGCTCGGCCTTTGTTTATTTATCTAGTCCATTCCTGGACCTCGTACATACCCAACTCGTTCTCAGATGGCTTTATGAGGAGACGAATAATCATGAGAAGAAACATTGTCATCCATAAAAATAACAAAACTAAAAGAGCTCCACCCAATTAAACACAGAGTGTGAAAACGCAGACAATGTTAAAATTATTCTAATATTCTGTTCCTCATTGCCCAACTCCTGCAGAAACGTATCTCAGGCGCCACTTGCCGCCACTCTGGCTTTGGAATGGAGACATACTTTATCCATAAAACCTTTTTATGCATACGCACATCACTGATCAAAAATTTAAAAAAGTGAACAACCTTCGTAACTCAACTTGTCGTTTTACTAACGTAAGAGATTGGCATAATCGACGAATAATGGCAATATATATGTTGCAGGGTGCATTGTCGTAGCTAAATTAATTGCGTTCAATTATTTGTTCAACAGTATTATATTTGTATCCACAGTCCAATACGTTCACTGCACATTCCCATCACATCTTGTTCTTTATGTTGAGATATCTGTTTGTCATGTTATTGGTTATTCCCAGCTATACTATCTATCCCTTTGTTGATTATCTGCTTGTTACGATGAACATAGTAAGAGAACAAGTGAAGAAAGAAGGTACAAAGATGACGACTTTGCACAAGCATAGTATTAATAATAGTAAATAACTTTAATAATGTCAATTAATATTTAATAATCAACGTGCTTTAATATATATTAATAATATTAATTATTAATTATTAATCATTAGAATACGCTATATAAATAATAATAGTCGATTCTTTGACAATGTATTATTATAATATTGCCGCTTGAGATTAATATATGGTAATACTAAAATATTGTGTTTATATACATTAAATTTCAATTGATTAGTCGCATGTGTAATCCAACACATAAACATGTTAGCATCTTACCCCTAACACACTAGCATGTACATTACTGGCCCCACATTATCCTTATTTTCATCTTTTTTTCATGGTTTATGTTTACGTACCTGTCACAAATGACGTACTATGACGTCTTAATGCACGTACACGGAAGACTGAATCAGTGTATAATGACGCCATCTATTACTATCAACGTATCAGTCACACGGCAATTCTCCCGACACCCATGATATTTTACCAAGGGCTTTTTAGTAAAACCAAATAATACCGGCCAACACATGCAAGTTTGCTGATTCTTATTCTTCTTTCTGATTCTGTTTCCAATAACCCGTCCAGAATAGTTCAAAACCCCAGTAGCTAAAGTTGGCAAATACAAAGCTCTGAAACTTGAGAAATGTTTTCAAATATTAAAACAATGATCTAACCATATAGTAACTCGATTCAGTCACAAGCAACATAGAAACCCCAAACAACTCAACTAATGACTTAAAATTTGCTCATTGTCTGCGCATGCTATTCCCTTCTTGCTCACCCTTGCCTTATTTTTATATTCATTTATCAGCCTCTTCTAACCAAATATTTACTTTCGATCTCTTATCTATCACCCCCCCCCCCCTCCTAAAGCATCTATTAACCTGCTTGCTTGCAAGTATTACAGTGTACGAGTGTGGTCATGTATTCGGAATCATGAGAAGGGTGACGCATAGTCCCCGCTACAGCATTTCGAATTTTGCTATCTTAACTTTATCTAATGTTGCTCAATCAAATTCATCTTTGTTTATACAACTTCTTCTTTGAGCTCCCCACATTATTGCCAGCTTCCCTCTTAACAGTAGGTTGAAGCTTAATATGCTTTGCCAGTCGAAAAGTATAAATAAAACTATACCTATACCTATCCTCCTCAAACTTCTAGTCTATAACACATATTCGAGCATGAGAAACAAGCTAAAACACAAAGGCTGAAAATTAAAAGGTCATACATGCTAACAAGGTCCCTGCCAATAGCCAACAGCAGCTTGGTGCACGTATTACGTGTAGGGAATTACATATTAATACGTAGAATGATGTGATGTTGCAAAGGTAAAACATATCAGTCACTGCTAACAATTCTCAGGGTTTAAAGACAGATACAATTTTAATTTAATGTCGACCGCTATCACAAAAGGCTTAAACCGTTTTGCGTCATTGATGGGTAGTGATTCTCGTTTAATTCGGAGAAGAGCGTGACGTAATGTTATTGTAAGGGTTCTCGACCTTTACGATTTTTTTTGAAGTCTGGAATTAGTCATGAAGAATAAAAGGTAAAGCTGCGATGTTAACCAATGACTGATTGCCCGGCTCATTGGTATAAACCTATTCATGATCTGACCTTACCAAATGTGATATATCTAACAGACATTCACAATAGATAAACTATAGTACAGGTAATAAGAAAACTTGGCCTACAACAAATATGCGCAAACACCGAGTTGCTAACGACGGGATTGTTCTACAAATAGGAGGTAGCGATCAACACTTTCTCAAAGAACTGATTTCTGCTTTCCCGATTCTATTTTTAAGATGGCTCCCCAGTATGGGTACCATTAGTAAAGATGTTCAGAAGTATTCTTGTCAAACTTTCTTTTTAACATCCACTGTGTTATGTGTTGAAACATTAGTACAGTGAACCCTATCTAAATGCAAACCTCTCTAAGTACAAGTACCTTATATTTTCCCTCTCTAAATGCAAGCTCTGTTTCGGTCCCGATCATTAATTATGTCACTCTCTATAAATATTCCCCATAAATGCAAGTCATAGCCAAGCCATACTGTATGTCAGAGAGAGTTGACTTATATTGGTGGTACAATGCTAATTCGAAATAATAATTATTTTTGACAGTCATGGTTTCTTGTTTTGACTTTTTAATTTATCGCCTGACGTCCGATATCTAAAATTGTGTACAAAGTAAATTTGTTTAACCTTTTTAAATTGTTACAGTCCGAACCTGGTAATTTACACTTAAAAATTCCATGTTCAATGAACTCTTTATAAGAAATTGTGTTTCATTGTTTAATATAAGCAACTGGATAACTTCAGTATTCAAACGTTTATCGATCAAGTATAAAGAAAGAACTAACGTTGACGCTCGTCTTTGTTGTTGTTTTGTTGTTGTTGTTGTT